TCTCTCTCTCTCTCTCTCTCTCTCTCTCTCTCTCTCTCTCTCTCTAGCAAATGTCATAGTTTGACACATGGGCATCTTTTTTTTTCCCAGTGCCGGGGACTGAACTCAGGCCCTTGTGCTTGCTAAGCAGGCACTTATTCTACTGAGCTATTTCCCCAGCCCTCAAATTAGCACCTTTTGGCTTTCATGTTAAAGTTTAATCCCCATTCTGAAGTCTTCAAACAGGACAAATTTAAATGTTGATATGATAAAACTGACAGGATGAAACCTCCATGGCTATATTGTGACTTTATATGAACAGATCAAAGCCAGAACATGTACACACACACACACACACACACACACACACACACACACACACCTGTTCACTTGCTTATGTCTCTAGTCATGTGATGACCTGTGCTGTCTTAGGATTCTAATGGCAAAAAGAAATGAGCAGATGTGGACCTTAGATTTTCAGAAACAAACATAAGCTAAAATAAATGTATTGTCTTCTCAAATTCCCCAGTCTATAGTATTGTGTTTTCAGATCCAGTCAATAGCCTAAGAGGCATGTTAATGAAGAATAGTACATCAGTGTATAAATCACTTACAGTTCATAGATTTTATATAGTTCATGGAGCATATTTATCTCAGGCAGTCTAAATGACAAATGCAGTACTTAAAACCTGAGAAGTCCAGAAGCAATAACTTACTGTTTATATCTAGAATCTACTGTTTACTAAAGTTAGGTGGATTTCTTAAATTTTCAATGCATTAAAGCAAGGTAACTCACTTTTCATTTATAACTTCACAATGGTTCAAGTCAAACTTTAAAACACATGCATTACGTTGTTTATGTATGTTGGAACGTCAATTTCCAAATTAACTCTTTCTTGTCTTGATTTGATGCACACATGATCTAGTTTAATCAAGGGGACAATGCAGAGTGCCACAAAACTGCTCTAACTTAAAAGCCCTAAAATATGTGGAATGGTTGGCACAATTATTCTACATTTGTGAATCACTTATAAATCTCTTTTCTGAATATGTGGTATATAACACAGTTATGACTGTGCACAACTTTGCTAAACAAGCTACTGTTTTACATTTATCATTAGTCAAGAGTTTATGTTTCCCAAGCGTGACAATTTAAACCACAAATATCAGTATCTTATCATAGAAGAGGTTCATTTTCTGGATGGCATGACCTGTTCAGTACATACCAGTGCTGGAGGAGAGAGTTAAGGATTTGTCATCCATTATCGCTGTGGAGCTCAGGTTGATAGGCATTCCCACATCTGACACTTCCCATCTTTTGGTTAGAAATAATGATATGTTCCTGTTTCAGTACAAAAGTTGCAAGATATGGAGCTTTCCATATGCCAAACATGTGCAGTATTAAGCTGTAATTGTTGAGAGTTACGTGATCTCTGCATGATTTCTGTTTTGGTTTGGTTTGGTTTGGTTTGGTTTGGGTTGGGGTTTTTTTGGTTTTTGCGGTACCGGGGATTGAACTCAGGACCCTGTGCTTGCCAGGCAAGCGCTTATTCTACTGAGCTATCTCCTCAGGCCTCCTGTATAGTTTTGAAGGTACTATTTTGACATAGTTCTTTTCTTGTGCATCATACTCTTCTTTATAGCCTCTATAGATTTTTCCTTTTCCTTTCAACCACTAACACATGTGTTCTGCAGTTTCCCATATTTAAATTCCTAACCTTTTTTCTCTATAATTATAGCCATATAGCTTCATCTGGTCCTGCAGTACTAAGGATTAACTGTGTGATTCTAACTCTGAAACAAATTATAACAAATCTGGACATAAATATTACACCTCTAGACCATTTCAATTGTAATTATTTCTATACTATTGCAAGCTCAGTATAAAAAAACACAAACTCATTATTCTCCCTAAACATACTATAATTTTTTCCACTATTTCTTGTCCTACTTAGTGACAACCTCATGTTTCCAAATCTAGATCCCTCCTTATCATCAGTGCTATTTCTAAATTATAATTTCATATGTCCTCCTAAGACTGTGGTGCCCCTCATTTGGTTAAATATCAGAGATTCTGCACAGTGGTGGATCAGGCTGGAGAATAGTTAAGATTTAAACCACTAGATTCTGATATAAAGCACAATACTTTCCATTGCTATAGGTGGCCCCATACAGTTAGTTGTATGTAGCAAGAACAAGACTCATTTTGAGCAGAAGGAACTCAGCCTAAAGCAGGCAATTTCAGAACCCTTCCTGATTTTCCAGTTTGCCTCTTTACCCCTGCTGATTTCAACATGAAACTCCAAATATTGTACTTTGAATTTTCACAAAGTAGCCCTAGATCTTAGAAGTTCTAGACTGGCAGCCCTAATAATACAAACAACTATAAAAAGAAAACCAAAGAATTGCTTAAATAATAAAACAAAATTCTTCTAGGACAGAACAGATTGCCATTGGTTTCCCTCAAAATTCTGGTACTGGCATTGAATACACTTGTTGAAAAAAGGACACACTTTAGTTGTGCTGTTATGGGTGCTGGATGTTCTGCCAATTCAAAACATTCTCCTGTCATGTTCTCTTACAAAGGCCCTCAGGTCTCCAGGTCCACTGAACTTGGTGTGTCCTGAATGGTCTTCATGCTCTCATAGTTTCACTCCTCTGCTTCACACTGGATGTCAGTGAGCCATGCATGGCGTTCATTGTATTTTGATTGTGCCTCATAACAACAAACAGGATTCTCAGAACTACTTCTGATAGTGGCAAAAGGGATGTGTGATCTAAACATTGGGGAATAATTTGATGAGGGATTAGTGGGAATATGTCTTGATGTGATTTTATTTTCAAATTTTAACATTCTGTACCTATTTACCACCCTTATAGTTTAGAGTGACTTACATAATGGTTTTCCACAAGGGCAACCTCAGAGTGGCAAGGGCCTTAACATGAGTAGAGTTCTAGGCATGGAGCAAGAGGTGGTGGGCAATAATGGAGGCTGATAATAAATAGTGTCTGTTGGTGAGATACTAGGTCTCAAAGTGGCAGTGTACACAGAGCATGTCCCAGCTTTCAGCCCTGGGAGTTGTAAGCATGGGGCTCCATGCAGAATGAGTCAGAATGATCCATATAATGAAATAGATAGCTGAGCATTCGCTTTGCTGATGTGTGGCTCTAGTCAGGAAAGAGAGGGAACTCTGGTGATAGAAAACATACTGGTGAGGACATAGAGTGTGCTGACTAGAAAATGGGCCAATTTCATAGGAACTCGCCCCTGGCTTGAATCCAGGGAGACCTTGGACATTGGTTTCGTGGGTGTGATCAATTCACTGGGTGAAGTCATTAGGCTGTGAGGGACTCTCGTGTGCTGTTGGTAAAGAAAATTGCCAAGACATGTCTCAAGGTTAGAGCCCTGATTTTGTGCTGAAAATACCATTCTCCATTCATTATACTTAAACTTTCAAACTCGATATTTTCTAGAAAATATCAGGGATTAGAAGGCTTTGGTGTAAATCAACTGGTAAGACTCATGAGCTAGAGGACATTGTACCCTAAGAGGAGGCATGTTTATGGCCCTGAATGTTAAAGAAATGATCAGTCCCAAAAGGAAGTTACAGCACAAACAAACAAACAAACAAACAAAAAACACTTGCATGCTCTTCTTTCTGAGACTCCAAGCAAGGACACTGATATAAGGGAGCTGTCGATCTTTACAATGACCTTGTCTGAGCATGCCTGAAGAGGTTAGCCTAGGGAGATATCCACAGTGATAGGAGATGGCAAAGTAATAGCTTTCACTGAGAGGAAGGGGAACCATCAACTCTAAAACAGGGAATCACATGCATATATATGCTTCTCTGGGCATGAAGAATGCCAAGAAAATCTGTCACTCTATGTTGGCTTTTTTTCACTTAGCAACAGGAAGGTTGGACAAACTGTCTGATCCAGGTAGGGTAAAAGAGCATATTAGATCCCTGCAGAATCTCTGTGGTTGTCCTTAATAAGGACCACTACAACTACTCTCCTATCAAAACGGGGAAAATGTAAGAGAGCTCTGCAGGTCTTGTATGCCTGGGGAAACCAGCAGTGGGGGTCACATGTATGAGAAAAGCATAGCATGTGATGGTGTTCATTAATGCGGTGAGGGCCATCAGATCCACTTGAGAAGTTCTACCAAGTAATATCTGGCCCCACGGGAAGGGCCATGAGTTAGGACTGATGGCCTCAACACACCCGTGTTCTGGAAGACTGCCAGGAGTTCATAGCCTAGTAAACCCTGTCTAGAGTGAAAGACTGAAAGGATTTTAAACAACACTACATTGCTTCCAGGAAAAGCAAAATTGGCCTGCAGGTGTCAAATATACTGTTGTCCACATGAAGGAGCCCAGGTACTGTTAAAGCTCAGTTATGTGGTCTGCAGTGTGACAAGAGAAGGCCTTATAGTCCAGAGAAGAAGCTGGGCTCTCAGAACAAGAACTGCCGCCTCTATTTTCATATCCAGTGCACACTGGAAAGGGCTCCTCAGTAATTGCTGGGGGCACAATCAAATATGTCCACTGGGTTTCAGAGAGCAGGCTAATGAGAAAAGCTACCCAGTTGCTTCCTACCACAAGGGTCACAGGTGGAACTACAGAGAGACTTTTACTAAGCCAGGGAGGTATCTGAGCCAGAGGTGCTTATGATCTGTTTTTCTTTCTCCCCCAGGTGCCTGCATCACCAGATCTCCTGCACATTCATCATGCATAGGCAGCAAAAGAGAAAGCTTCCTACTGCTGAGAAAGTCTGCCTGGGTGTAGGGGACACCCAGGTAATGCAGGAAGCTCAGTGCATTCCTACAAAGAAGAGACTATTACGCTCTTTATCTTCTTTTTCTGCAGGGGTTACCACTCAAATAGGTTCTACTTCTCAGGCACAAAGCCCTCCAGAGGGATCTCAGCAAGAAGTCTGTAGCACCAAAGCTACACATGAATCAAACATAAGATCAGAAAAAGCAGGAAAATCCAAAAGTAAGAAAAAACAAAAGGCTCTCACCAAGATGGCAAGAATTGTGGAAGTTCAGGCTACTGCTACCAAGAAGAGAAAGTTAGGCTCTTCAACTCCTCCTACACAGGTTACTACGGAGACCGATTCTGCTTCTCAGTCACAGAGCCCTCCAGGGGGATCTCAGGGAGAAATTTCTACCAGTAAAACTACACATGAATCAAACCTAAAATCAGAAAACGCAGAAAAAGCCAAAACTAAGAAAAACCAAAAGGCTCTCAGCAAGATGGCCAGAACTTTGAATGTTCAGGCGCCTGGTACCAAGAAGAGAGTATTACGCTCCTCATCTCTTCCTGCAGAGTTTACTCCTGACACAGATTCCAGTTGTCAGTCACAGAGCCCTCCAGAGGGATCTCAGGGAGAGGTTTCTACCAGTAAAGCTTCACATTTATCAACCCTGAGATCAGAAAAAGCAGGAAAAGCCAAAACCACGAAGAAGGAGAAGGTTATCACCAAGGTGGCCAGAACTTTGAAAGTTCAGGCTGCTGCTACCAAGAAGAGAAAGTTACGCTCTTCATCTCCTGCAGAGCTTACTCCTGACACAGAATCCAGTTCTCAGTCACAGAGCCCTCCAGAGGGATCTCAGGAAGAGGTTTCTACCAATAAAGCCACAGATGACTCAAACATAACATCAGAAAAAGAAGCAAAATGCAAGACTAAGAAAGAAGAAAAGGCCCTCACCAAGATGGCCAGAACTTTGAAAGTTCAGGCTACTGCTATGAAGAGAAACTTACGCTCTTCATCTCGTCCTGCTCAGGTTACTCCTGAGACCGATTCTGCTTCTCAGCCACAGA